TATATAGCCTCCACACAAAATCCAACCGTTACACACAGTTTTCCAATCTCGGTGGGACCGAATCAACAAACTCGGTCGGACCGAAAAGGTAAACCTAGTGGCCGTTAGAGATTTTCGATGGGACTAACATGCAACTCGGTAGGATCGATATGGTTAGGATTTGGGCATAAAGTAATCTCGGTGAGACCGATTACACAAACTCGGTGAGACCGAGTTTGGTAATAAGCTAACCAGAGAGTTGGTCAGGTAAACTCGGTGGGACCGATTTGCTCTTTCGGTGAGACCGAAAAGTTACAAAAGGGAAACAAAGAGTTTATATTGCAATCTCGGTGGGACCGATTCGCTCTTTCGGTGAGACCGAAAAGTTACGAAAGGGAAACAGAGAGTTTGCAATCCCATCTCGGTGAGACCGAGATCCCTATCGGTAGAACCGAATTGCTAGGGTTTGGCAGTGGCTTATGACAAGTGAAACTTGGTGGCGCCGGATAGAAAGAATCGGTAGGACCGAGTTTGGCTTAGGGTTTAGGTCATATGTGGATATGGGAAAGTAGTTGAGGGTTTTGGAGCATATCACTAAGCACATGAAGCAAAAGGCTCATTAAGCAACACCTCATCCCTGCTTGATAGTATTGGCTTTTCCTAAAGACTCAATGTGATCTTGGATCACTAAAATATAAAATGAAGAGTCTTGAGCTTTTGAGCTTGAGCCAATCCTTTGTCCTTAGCATTTTGAGGGCTCCACTTTCACATCCATGCCATGCCAATCATTGAGCTTTCCTGAAATAGTCATCTTGGAATAGCATTAGCTCAATGAGCTATATGTTGTTATGAATTACCAAAACCACCTAGGGATAGTTGCACTTTCAGCAGTGACACACATTGCACACTCATCCTTTTAAGCCTGAAATATTCCATGGACACGTATTTCGACCCGAACCGTGACTCCAAGATAGACTATACAAATATTAAGAAAGTTCTTGATGATGTTCTCCCCGGCTACGCCAAATCTGGAGGCACCTTCACCAGGGCAGTTTGTAAGTACGGCAAGCACGTGTTCGCCCACAATACGACGTTCTGCTGCGTCAAGCAGCTGCCTGGCGGTCAGAAGGATGCCTACTACGCCCTCCATCACATGTGGGCGATCGTAAGGGACCTTCATCACCTTCTGCTACCAGATAATCTCAAAGATTGGGCCGCGAGCTTGTCGGCAATCCAGGACGCGGACATCAGACAAGAATTCTTTCGCATCCAGTCGGAGTTTGCGGACATCATCCATCAAGATGTCCTTCATACCTCGGGGCAGTTCTTCCTCAGATATCAATTGTCCAACAGTGAGATAGACGGAAAGCTACAAATGCAGGCTGACAACGCCCGCGATTTCATGACCATCACGATAGACGGCGGCTTCATCCACACTCCTGTCCCATGAGTCGAGTCGAAAGTAGTGATGTGTAGTTCTGAAACATTGATTGGCTCATGTTGTAATTAAACTTTAATGAATTGTATGTCTCTTTGGTTTGGACAGTCGTTCAACTTAGATGTAATCGATGCTATTTATTAGTAGGATCATGAATCGTGCTATTAATGTCTTGCTTTTCTCTTCCGATCCTTTTGTTGCATATTAATATATTGCTTATGTATGTATTGTGTGTTGTTTGGCTTGTGCATAGAGATGTCGTCGTATGTCGTGTACAAGGGTAAGGTTCCCGGAGTCTACGACGACTGGGAGGAGTGTCGGAGACAGGTTCACCGTTTCAGCGGTAACAGTTACAAAGGGTACACCACTAGGGCGGAGGCGGAATCTCGATACGCTCGCTATCTAGCGGGAGAGAGGAGGGAGCATGGGAGGAACCGGATGAAGACCAGTTTCATCGCGATGATGCTCATCGTGATGACCGCAGCTCTCTTCTATGTGATGGTAGTTTAGATGATCGATATCGACTTGTAATGTGAAGACAAACTCGATACTCGCGGTCTCGAGACTTGTAATGTTTTATCTTTGTTCGGTCTTTTGAATTTGGAGACTAATATGATGAATTGTATTCGGAGACTAATCTTCCATTGTATTCGATGAATCTGCTGTTGCTGTGTGCTGCTGTCTATATTCTGTCAAATAATATATTTTATAACCTGTGCAAAAATCAGAAAAGTAAAAAAAAACCTAATATTCATATTAATGGTGCATCACTACAGAGTGCGCCATTAGTATGCCAAAGTATACTAATGGCGCATCACCCAACAGTGCGCCATTAGTATGCCAAAGCACATGGTTAAATATGGCCCCCTGGGAGGCATACTAATGGCGTATGGTGTTCTATACTAATGGCGCACTGCGTGGTGCGCCATTAGTAAGAAATACTAGTGGCGTGATACTAATGGCGCACCAGTAGTGCACCATTAGTAGGCAAAACTGGTGTGCCATTAGTAGCCCTTTTCCTAGTAGTGTACGTACTACTCCCGCCTTTTCGGTTTATAGAGTTTATCTTGAAATTTTAGTTTTTCCATTTTATAAGGCTCAATTTGGTTTTTCCTCATCACAAGTTCAGATTTCAAGATGCATTAAATTATTGTATGCAAGTATTAAGAGAAAATTAACCAATGCATGTATTTTATGCATGCATGCATTGCAATTAATGCATTAATAAACACAATTTTTTGAGAAAACAAGAGAATTAATTAGGTGCTTTTGCAAACTACAAAAAGTATTTCATCACTTATCATCTATCTTGATTGGTGGAATTTTTGAATTGAGCCTTATAAACCGGAAGTACGTACGAATCACCACTTGAATTCGAATGGAGCATCGACAGTAGAAATTACTGGTGGACGGGGACTCGCCCATTTCACAGGTTGGATTTCCTTACCGATGATGGTGGTTATCAAGATCACATGCTGCTCGTCAGGCAGGCCGAGGACCTACAGCTGGATCCCCTTTCAAACAGGTGGGTGGGTGTGGAGCGGCCAACAGGTCGGAGGCGAGTGCGTATCATGTGCAACCGGTGCACCGTGCACCAAAAATCCATGATAAAAATGAAAGATCATATATAAACCACACAAGACATGCATGACGTTGGTAAGAAGAGTAGGAACATCTTTTGCGACGAGTATGTGTGTGAGCAATGTTTGTACAAAGCTAGAAAATAATGTTGTTTACCACTAACTACAAAAATAAATGATGTTATGGTTGTAACAATACTTTTTAGAAGTAAAGAATTATGTCAATAATGTAATAAGTCATTTCAATACGCTAAACGATTTGTAGTAGCAAAACATAGTCACGAAAAACAAGCTATGATGGTAGCAAGTTATAGAGGATATATATAAGAAGAAGCGGTACTTGCATAATTAAGGAAAACTAATTACAGGTCCTATCACTATAATTAATATGATCGGAATTTGACTAAATCAGGAATTAAACCCATTAGGTGACACCACTCTGCATCCCAAATAATTTACCACAATGATAATTATTGATAGTGAAATTGCTATATATGGGCACGCGAAATAGTCAAAACATGTGGACACAATTATAGAATCTGATGAAATGCAAAACACACACACATGACACTCACACACACATACCACAACTCATACCCAACTATCTAGCTAGATCTACAACCTCTACACATGTAATATGTTCTGAGAAACTTCCGAATCAATTCAACTTTGAGAGTGGCCAGTGGCGGGTACGTCGTCCTACATGTGGTCGTAAACGTGTGGGGTACATGCAAGGGGAAAATACCGGGTGAGACACCCAAGCAAGTTCCATGGATCAACCCTTGGGCGCACTGCATGGAGTATGCACTTTCCCTACCTCTCCTCTTGTATTTTGCCTATGAGATTGGCCCCAATAGGGGTCAAAGATGCCTTTAGATGTGGTGCTTCAACTAAAACCGACTGCATTACTTCTTTTTATCTTAGCACCTCATTCCCCAATGTTTAGTACGAGTGTGAGTGTGTGCTAAGAAACCTTGGCACCCAATGTCGACCAACATTGCTCATGCCGCGGTAAGAAAATAAGCATTACTATCGGTTCTTGTTGAAGCACTGAGTCTAGAGGAATCTTCACCGCTATAGGGGGCATGTCATAGCTAAAAACAAGAACAAGGGGCTGTTTCGGTGGGGAAAAGGTATTGAGTGGGAAAAAAATGGTTGGCTAGTGGGTCCCAAAGTATGTGCTATGAAAAGAGGATATTGAGAAAAAACCATTTACTCAATTTACTTTCCTATTTTGTAGCACTGACATATCGGTTCTCCTCTTGGTCCCAAAGCCCATGATCAATTTGATGCACCAAGTTTTTTTTCTTTCGAAAAAGACCCCGGACCTCCGCATCGAAAGATGCACACAGTCATCTTTGTTAAATTATTCAATAAAGTTCTGGCAAAAACATACATCAAACAACTAAAAGCTACCACGCCACACCTACAAGCTTGATGATGGGAGATGCCGTCACAACGCCCCACTAGTTAGATCCGGAGTAATCAATTTGGTGCACCAAGTGTTTACATGATTAACAACGTATACAATAATGTCATGGCTGTCCTTATCAACAGTCCCATATAGACTTCCTAAGGGCAGCCATGTTTCCATAATGGCTATATTTTGGTTAAATTTTGAATTGTTGTTGACCACCTGACCTGGGACGAGAATATCTTCAAGAAAAACAATACTTGATGGAAAATATATATTATAATTTACATCTAGACGCGCTCACCCTGCTGGTTCATTATAATAAGACCGTTACATCTAAGTGCTGGATGGATACGCTAATGAACACGACCAGAATAAAATAAGAACACTTTGCAACGAGCTACGTACTAGGTACGAATCACCACTTGAATTCGAATGGAGAATCGACAGTAGAAATTACTACGTACAATTTACAAGGCCCCATGCATGCATGCATGCATTCTCCACCGCTTGTTTGCTTGATCCCCGTCATGGCTTATTTGGATGCACGACATATACACACATCCGTGTGTCATGAACGCATGCATGCCTAGACTTGCTCGACATGGATTGCCTTGTCAAGCTTCTCGAGTGTCCCCTTGGAGTCGTCGCTGGCGGAGGCCACGCCGCTCTTCTTGGCCGCCCCCTCCTTCACCGTGGGCAGCTCAACGGCGGCCGCCGCCGGGCCGAGCTTAGAGATGTTGACGACGTGCTCGGTCGCCTTGACGGCACCATCGTCGGACACGGGGGCATCCACCTCCTTGGGCGCCGGCCTGGGCGTAGCGTTGCGGTAGAGGGCGTAGAGCCCCATCTGGATAACCCCGAAGGCGAACCCAAGAATGTTGGGCAGCTGCATGTAACGATCAAATCAAAAAACAGCTAGCGTCGAAAGTTGAGTGACGAAGTGATTTTTGTTTGTGTTGCTTACGGCGACGTATTTGTCCTTGATGAGGAGGCCGTAAAGGAACCAGACGACTGCGCTGGCGGTGAGGGAGAGGGAGAGGGAGAAGGGCATGAACTCCACGCTTCGGGTGCGCACCACAAGACGCTGCATATTATGCAAAAGCAACGAGGCAAGCAGCTAAGAGAGAGATCGATTATAAATCAAGATCAATGGTAACAGACATGCGAGAGTTAGGGTGCTCACGATGACGCTGAGGGGCGCGACGAAGACGCTGACCGAGAAGCCGACGCAGACCCACCCGAGCATGACGATGCGCCTCTCACCCGCCGTGAGAAGCAGGGTGAGTAGGAGGATGAGGCCGAAGACGCCGACGTTGAGGAGGAGGAGGATCTTGGCGGTGAAGATCCTGGCCTGCTTGTGCGCGTAGGCGAGGTAGAGGACGATGTAGATGGTCTCGATGACGCAGCCGGCTGAATTGATGGTGATGAGGAGGTACTCGTCGGACTTGAGCAGCGCGTAGTAGATCCACAGCATGGCGCTGAAGAGCGCCACCACGTAAGGGACGGACTGGAAGCCCTGCGTCGACTTGTTCTTGTAGATCCTGTAGAACGTCGGCCTGCATGAGCGCCATGCACCATTGGTGTGCACGCAGTCAGACGAGAGAGACCATGCAACAAGCAAAGCTGGAGAGGGAAACACGTAAGAGGCTTACAGTGGGGCCAGGTAGGTCATGAAGGAGATGACGTTGCCTGCAGGGAAGCAAAAGTGGCACGTTAGTACGTTACATTACATACGACAGTTATCCAGCGAGAACAAGGGAGATATGGATGTTGCGCACGCTTTCAATCCCCAGTTAGCCAGCTTTCAGTAATGGCTAGCTAGCTGGTGAGATGTCACACACGCTACACCATAAGAAAAATCCACTCCTATATGTATTGGAGCCCTTTAGTTTACATCTTTCTTTCCCTTTTCTACCTTTTTGTTAGCCGTCGCCACGCATTCCTCCAACGACGAATGAACTGTACTTGATATATATACCGCTTTTGGTGTTTACACAAAAGAAATTAACGGCGGGGGGCCTGCAACAATATGGCGATCGGGGACAAAAGAGGAAGGATCACTACGTCGCAACAAGAGAAATCTTTTACTTTTGGCATGCAACCCGCACTATCTTGGATGCTCAGAATACTACCACAAGTAGGTAACACCCCCATGCGTATGTTGACACAAGAATCCACTAGCTCATTTTGGCAAACCATATTGAACAAAGATGAAAATAAAATAATGGGCAATGAGATTAAACATATGGAAGCAAATTAATTTGGGAAACATCTATATATTGAGGTAGACAACGATATACCTAGGAGGCCGAAGGTAAAGGCCCACGGGTGCTGAACAGAGAGGCCACCCATTGCAAGACCTTAACTAGCTATGAACTTGAGACGGTCGAGTTGATGAGAAGAGCAATGAGATGGTTCAACCAAGCTATGGCTTATAGTTGGCTTAATGGGAAGAGAAGAATTGCCAGCTTACTACTCGAGGTTGTTGCTTGAGAGCTTGAATGGAGCTGGAGCTCAGAAGGGTTTATATAGTGCTGGGAAGGAAGCTCCGGAGGCAAGAAAAAGTGCACATGCCTTATCGCGTGTGACTCCATTGGCACACACAAACTATTCCTGCTCAATCATGGAAACAAATACAGAAAACTAATGCATGGATAATCCCAACCAGCCATGGGACCGCTTTAAACAAAGGACAAGATAATCATCAGGATGCATGACACAAAGCTTCCTGTGTCGGTACACTTTTCCTCTCGCAATTCCCTCCATAATGCGTGGATTTATATTAGGGAAATTGCAGTACAGTTCAAGTTAACTGTCCCAGGTAAGGCCAGCTTGGCTACGTGCCCTACAAGGCAGAGAGCTATAGCGCGCAGCCACTAAGCCGCAAATTACGGATCACACGCGTTTAAGAGACTCAGACCAGTGTCCAAACTCAAGCCAGTTAGGACTTAGGAGTTATCAGTCACCACGCGGTTACTTGCGCTCGTTGCACCGTTGCACACACGAAGCGGCAGCTGAGAAACAACACGTAGTACATAAGTACTGGCTGTACGTAGTGCGGATACGTTACAATGTGCGCACACGTCAGTGCCCTTTGCTCGCTGCCATGATCCATCTTGGGATGGCTTCTGGCTTGTGGGACACACATAAAAAAGTTGCTTTTTAGCAACACACAAAAACATAAGAAAGTTGCTTGACTCAGCTGGCTTCTTGTGCTAGCTAATAATCCTGGTTTCTGGACGACTCTGCCAGGCTCCTCCTGTCTTTACGGATGGAAGAGAGCTGATAAGTCTAGCCGTTTCTTCATGATTCAATGCTGCATAGTTTTGTACTCTAATGGAGAGATTTGGACTAAGAAAGGCGTTTAACGTGCGTAGGAAGGAGGCTGCATGGTAGCACAATCTTTCACGTCTTTGACTGCCTTTGACCACGGTTCGATAGATCCATGCATGCTAGCATGCATAATCTTTGGATTTCCTTTTGACAAAGGGGTGTGTGTTCTCTGTTGTTGTTCCAATCGATTTTTCAGATAGTGCATGCAACAGATAGCCGCCAGGCTTTACGGCCACAAGCGTGCAGTTATTCAGGTGCTTTTCAGTCCACTACCAGGCTTGTTGCGTTCATCTACAAATTAGTCCTACCAGTCTTCTTTTAGGTTGCTGATTTGCATGCTTTGCTGGCTGAATAGTGCATCTGCTAATTAACGGACCGTCAGGGCATCTCTAACCGTGACTGCAGACATACACATCCGTACGACACAATGGTTCAGGGTTGGACACGCCCATTTATTTATCTAAGAGTCAATTACACTAGAGATGCTATAACTTGACATAAACGATCACTTTGACGCTAGAAGTTGTGGTATACATCGAAGTGGTGCAAAAACTTGGTACTAACATGCAAATACATCGTTTATCTCGTTTGTATACAAAGTCGATGCTGACTAGGCGCATGGGGCCCGCTGTCAGCCACTGCTCCAAAGAGAAAGGATGTGTGGCCTGATTTTTTGGAAAACACCCTCAAAATATATATTTTTCACAAAAAAACACCTATTGACATGGGAGAGGTGGCATGTTTTTCACCTCTATCAACAATGGGTCCCGCCAGTCAGACGAGAGTGAAAAATAAACTAAACTTCAGGACTCCTAGAATCGAACACACGACCGAACCTAGTTACCAAATACGGCTAGCCACCACACAAAAGCGTTCTCATGTTGAAAACGAGTGTAATGACATTACTTAATTAATATATACTCGTTTCACCCGCAAAAAAAAAAATACACTAACCAGTCCGCATGCGGAGCTTATATGGATCGCAGATACTGCGGCCCTTTCCATAACTGTTCACTTTTTAAAATATATTTGTAAAACGTAATTAATAAAAATTATCTTCAAATATTTGTGTGATACAAAATTTATACATAAAATGTATTAGTAAGTTATAAAATTTAAATATACATCCGTGCATGATATAAAAAATATTTACTTAATACAGACATTTTATAAAATTCAAATGTTCAATGAATACAAAAATATAGTCGTGGTTTATATTTAAATTATACAAACTTAATATCTATATGAACAAACAATGAACTATACAAACGTGCATATAATTATTGAAATGTTGTATGATAAAATATTTTTCTAAATTTTATTTTAAATTCTTTTAGTTATAAATTATGCAAACAATTTTATAATTCATAAACATTATTTGGATATATGAATATTTTAAAATAATATGTGAACAATTATATAAAATAATTTATTCTGTTTGCATGTCACAAATATTCATTCATTATTTTTATTACTTAGATTAAAATTTAGAGTTTTTAGAACACTTATAATTTAGATACTTTCTACAGAAAAATCAGGAAGAGAACTGACAGGTGCAAAATGGGCCACAAGATCTGCAGCCCCATTCACCTAGTTAGCATCGACTCCGTATACAAACGAGATAAGCATTGTATTTGCATGACAATGCCAAGTTTTGTCACCACTTCAATGTACATCACATTTCTAACACCAAAGTGATCGTTTACGTCAAGTTGTAGCACTACTAGTGTAATTGACTTTTTATCTAATGATGGTTTGCTAATTTACCGTATGTTAGTTAACTAATCCGCTTGTGCTAATCATATTCCTAATCAACCCTACAACCTCCTTGTACAACACTGGTTATTGAATAATCTGCCATTAATTGAAGTCTTTAATTCTTTGATATTCACCATTCATCAAGAGAGATCCTTTGCATGATCTTGACTCTTCTCCAAAAATACATTGATGATAGCTTTAAACTAAGCAGAAAAATAAAAAGAAATTGATCCATGTGTAATGACTATTTGTCTCATGATAAGTCATATGAGAAAAACATTTTAAAAAGGAAAACCCCATTAGTTATAGTTTCGAGAACAATAAGTATGACATGTGGTCTTGACACGGTGTGCATATGCCGGTGCCTATTGTCATTGTGGTGAGAGCATCTACAGCCGGACGCCTCAAACCATCCCTCATACGCCCTCGGACGCGCCCGGTCAGTGATAGGACAGGAGACAAAGGAAAAACGTGACCCAACCGGACCCCTCATATCATCCCTATACGCCCGGTCTGTCCGCGAACCTGCATATCCATCTCAAATATGGGGAGGGTATCAGGGCTCGCGGACGCGCCCGGTCATTCCGCCACATAGGACGCAACCCCATCCGGACCACATTTTCTCTTTCTTTATTCATTTTTTTATTCCTCTCTCTTCATTTCCACCAATCACGTGCTAGTGACCAGACATATGAGGAAGAGAATAAGAATTGTGGCTGCGTGGATGGACAAATATGTGTTCAAAACAGACGCGCCCGGTCATTGATCGGGCGTGTCCGCGGACGTTTGAGGGATCGAATTAGAGGTATATGGCTGAAGATGCTCTCACGTCTCTTGTGATGTATATGTTGCAACACACGTGCAAGGATGTGGTGCCCGATTCCTTGGACGATGACCTACCGATTTGTGGTGGACATGGTGGCCGCTCGAGACTCATAATACATCATTGTCATAATACAGCTTATCATTAACAACTTATCATCATAATACATCATTGTCATATAACAACTCCTTATGATCATCATTTTCGTCCATGGGACATCATATAACAACTTGGTCACTAGTCATAATCACAACTCGTCCTTATCATCATCATCAACTCTAACACATTGTAGCACATAATAACACATTGTACCTAGGACCTACTCCTCTCTCATAGGACCTACTACCCTCTCTAAGATAAAATGGCATAAAACAATATAGGCCCTGACTCTCCATTATGGAGAATGGAGACTATCCTGTCTCCAATTATTGTGCTTCGTAAAATGTTGGTTCCATGTAGCTCTCTACGATTGTCCATACATTTTTTCCATGCTTTGATTGTCATGTCTTCATCGGTTTTAGAAATCCGGTATGAACAGTAGTGAAGCCTAGGCAGACCTGGCCGTAAGCTAATAACATCAAGGCGACCTTTCGGAAACATGAGATGAGGAACACAATCCTTCGGGATTTTCTGTTGAAAAACATAGTAATAACATCGCAGTTAGCAATGTAGTTTAGCTTTAGAAGAATTTATGTAAAATATGGACGGATGTCATAATACTAAAAAATCTTACCATGCCATCTCCATAGATATTACAGTAGTTCAACATGTGCACTAGTGGCACGTATTGACCATAATGTACAGGAGTTTGATAATTGATATTGTAATTCTCAACATCAATAATAAATGAGATAAGATGATCTTTCTCCTGATAAGTTAATTCTGCGCCATCGGTGTAGTAGGTTCTGTCTACCATCTTCCACGCATTCTTTGAAGAATAAAAATAAGCTATCAATGGAAATAAGTTGTCAACTATTTTGAAATAAACAATATAAATTACTTAATAACCATGTTTGAGAAACTCACATAGCGATAGAATTGGAAGTGTATCAACAAGGACCCAAATGTCCATATTATGTTCATCGATGTCAGGATCACCAAGATCCAAGGTGACAAGCATACCCTCTTGAAAATCATACATCTTGCAAAGTGCTTCCCAATTCGGGCAACCAAAATGGGATACGTTGTATAGATTTACATCAAAATCTATACCATGACGGGTCCTTAGGTGAACTATCTTTGTTTCCATACTTTCATGATATTCAAAATCCATCATTTCCAAGACATAGCATCTTGCATGGCATGAGATAAGCTAGTCGAATTGTAAAAGACGAAAATTACACGTTAAAAAAGCAAAAGTCGTGCCTAATTACAGAAAAACATTTGTCGTTGTTGTGTACCATTTCAACATCGAAGGTCTTCTGGAGTGTAATACTGA